TAATTTTCCTTAGCTGTATGCAATATTTGTGTATGTGTGTGTATGTGTTTGTGTGTGTGTAATTTTCCTTAGCTGTATGCAATATTTGTGTGTGTGTGTGTAATTTTCCTTAGCTGTATGCAATATTTGTGTGTGTATGTGTATGTGTGTGTGTGTAATTTTCCTTAGCTGTATGTAATATTTGTGTGTGTGTATGTGTGTGTGTGTAATTTTCCTTAGCTGTATGCAATATTTGTGTATGTGTGTGTATGTGTGTGTGTAATTTTCCTTAGCTGTATGCAATATTTGTGTATGTGTGTGTATGTGTGTGTGTGTGTAATTTTCCTTAGCTGTATGCAATATTTTTGTGTGTGTGTATGTGTATGTGTGTGTATGTGTGTGTATGTAATTTTCCTTAGCTGTATGCAATATTTGTGTGTGTGTGTGTGTGTGTGTGTGTGTGTGTGTGTGTGTAATTTTCCTTAGCTCTCCTTGAACTGCTTCATGAAAAGGGCAGTATTTTCTGAACAGATACAAGTTTATTTGCTAACCCAAGAATCATTTTTAAAAAATGAGATATTTCCTTAGGATAGGATTAGAGAAGACAGGGTTGAAAGGGGAAACTGTAACTTTCTTACTGTTTAGCTGGGTTCAGTAGGACTTGGGAATGACACTGAGTTGAGGGAATCTTGTTAACTTTCTTTAGCAAGAATATCCAGCTCTAGTCCTGAAAACTGGCTTATTTTTATGCATAGGCCAGTGTGGATGGACCAGCATTCCCTTGTTTTCTGGGCAGAAATGTGTCCCAGATCGTGGGTTCATACCCAGGTATTCTCTACACACACTACACTGTATCAGCCACAACATCTCAGTTTGGATAGAGACTCTCTGCATCCACTTGGCTTTGGCAATGGATGTTGGGAAAGGCAGGTAATAACTGAGAGAAAGAATCAGCTGGGATTCTTTGGGTTGCAAGTGACAGAAAAACTTAACTCAAACAATAAAGGCTCATGAAACTGAAACATCTAAGTGAAGCATGACCCAGATGGTCAAACGGCATTGTCCAGGACTCAGCCCCTTGCTCTTGCTGGGTGGCAGCAAAATGTTGATGACAGTTCCAGATCACACATCCTAATTGTTCATAGGACAAGAGAGGAGAAAGTCTTTTTAATTTAGCTCCCATACCAGTTCTATAATTTATTCTCTTGATTTTGCCCAATATTTGGTCATGTGCCTCCCCTTAAGCCATTCCCTGTGGCTGGGAGAGCGAGATGTGCTGATGTAGCTTAAGCTACTGTAGAGGTGGCTGTAGAGGTGGAGCCAGTCTCGCCCACATAACTTATGAAGCATGGGGAAGGGGCAGATTCCCCACAAGAAAATCAGAATCCTTTTGGTGGGAATGGTGGGAGTAAATCTAGCACAACAAATGTCTATCACAATCAGTATTCCTCACACATTCCATAAGACAACTTGGATCCCCTTTACTTTGCAAAAGAGATTATAGAGTATTGTGGGCTAAGAAACAATCCAACTTTATTTTCTGTTATATGCAAAATCAACTGGAACAGCCACCATTTAGAAGGCCAGACGACAGTGCCTTTTTTCAGTCCTGGGTCTTCAGGAACAACTGCTGATCCCTTCTGAAGCTGAACATTTTAGCCTGGGACTGGAAAAATTGTAGTAGCTTGAATACATAAGCCTCAAGGCCCTGGAATGTCACAATGTGATAGGATTTAGCCTTAGGTGCCATTTGATTCAAGCCAGAAAGGGATGCTCCTGTATCCCTAGAGTGTCCCCTAGAAGGAGTCCATCTAGAGGTTACCCACTCAGTTAATGTGAATGAAGGAGACCGCCCACATATAATAGGCAGCTCTCTCACTGGCATTTCTCATCTGCCACGGGTACCTGGAGTAGAAGTAACAATAGTGATAATATTATTTAATAGGTATTGGGTGCTTGTTATATGCTGGGAAACATTCTAAGCACTTTCTGCATATAATTCGTGTAATCTTCACATCAACCCTGTAAGTAAGATGCTGTTGTTACCATCACCACTTGACAGACAAGAAACTGAGGCTGAGTGAGGTAATGAAACCTGCCTAAGATGTCATGCCCCTGGAAAGCAGCAACTTGGCAGTCCAGAGAACATATTCTTCACCAGTTTGCTGCAGTCTCCCTGCTTCCCATCTTTGGAAACTTAAGATCCAGGAAGGAAGAGTGAGTGATTGGAGCAAAAGAAATGAAACTCTAAAGGGGGATGGATGTGCCTTCAAGTAATTCCCAGCCTTCTCTTTATATGCTCTGCAGTCTGGCATGGTGCTAAATCACACAGTATCATTTGAGTTGGGGCTATCTGTCCTTTTTCATGGGTAAATTCATCACCTCCAATAACAAGCCCTCTGCTGGGGCCTATCACTATCATTTGGAAATTGGCAAGGAACACTGGACATTAAAGGAAGAATTTTAAAGCAATCTTGAAATTTCTGAATGAAGGCTCTGCAGAAAGCCAACGAAGGGTTCTACTCCTGGCCCAGATGGATGCAATGACTGTGTACAGCTTGGTTGTCAGAGCTTGATGCAAAGGAGCCACTTCCCACATCAGCCAATCTTTTCTTTTTTAGAGACAGACTCTGTTGCCCAGGCTGGAGTGTAGTAGCATGATCTTGGCTCGCTGCAACCTCCACCTCCCGAGTTCAAGTGATTCTAGTGCCTCAGCCTCCCAAGTAGCTGGGATTACAGGTGGGCACCACCACGCCCTGCTCATTTTTGTATTTTTTAGTAGAGACAGGATTTTGCCAAATTGCTCAGGCTGGTCTCAAATTCTTGGCCTCAAGTGATCTGCCTGCCTTGGCCTCCCAGAATGCAGGGATTACAGGTGTGAGCCACCACGCCTGGCTCCAGCCGGTCCTTTGATGAAAAGAACAGCAGTGGAAAACTGTGGAACAGCTTTGCCCAAAAGAAAAGCTGCTGGGATTAGGAAGCTTGTACAACACAGCATAAGCAAACCTGTGCAGCAGGCTTCAGCATGTTTAATACTTTCTCCAAGTACAGAGGCAAAACCCATTTGACAGGTGAAAAAGCATCTCTATTGACTTTCTACAAGCCTTATGATATTCTAGGTGGATCGACACTTATCATAGCCCTTTAATCTGCCAGCCCGGATAATGTGTGCACGGATAATTTATCCACTGTGAGATTGAAATGCTCAATTTGGAATAACTTTCCCTACCCAGTAAATTGAGCGTTACTCTAGGATTCTGAGGCAGAGAGAGCACAATTTGAAAAGCGTTGCAGAGTTCCTTTGTAATTAGTCGCAGCCTTCCTTGAATATTAATTTCCCCCGCATCCTTTTCAAGTGGTTTAGAGACCGTCTCTGGAACTACAGAGATGCACCCTCAGAACCACAACAGCAAGCGGCATGGTCTCAAACACCTATGATTAAGTAGTCCCCAGAACGCACCCTCTGTTCTTCAGTGCAGTGTGTAGCTTATCAGTGCAAACAGTTTAATATTTATGCTAAGAGGATTGTCAAAAGCAGCTTCTGTTGCTTTAATTCTTGTTTTAAATAAATAATGAGAACATTTAAACACATTACTCTTCTTGGGGCCCCGGGGTCAGCTAATCTTATTATTTATGAAGTGATGTGCTACATAATAGTACTTACTGCATGTTAACAGACGCTATTATCAGGGCCTGATGCAGAGAGCTGAAGATATATTAGAATGTTATATGTAATGTACGACGGATTGAGTGCATAGGATGCCGGTGTAGCAATTAACCACACGCGAAAATAGGTGTAAAGTTGAAGTATGTTTTCCCGGGGGGATCCCCTCACCATTAATAATTCCCCAGAGAAGAAGATGTCTTTCAGTTAGGAGCTCTCTCTACCATCAGGCTTGGAAATGGGGCCGGGATATTCCATCCTTTGATCTCTTCATAGTCAGTCCTACACAGTCAGAAGACAAATAGTGAGCATGGCCACCTTTTATTGATTTAGACGAAAGTGCAGGGAAGGCGGGGGTGTAGGGAGGCAGGTGCACCATGCTCCCGAATGTCCTTAGAGTGTTTGGTTTTGGTGCACACATTTTCACCGCCATACTCCAGGAGAGTAGAGAAATTGTTCATTCCTTATTGCAATGCATTTCCTTCTCTCTGACCCTGATTTTGCAGATAAATAAAGCTAAAGCCACTGAGTTTTCCCAGGTCACTTTTAAATAAGCCAGTCTCTCTGAGAGATAGATGCCTGCCAAGGTATGAGAACGTTGCCCCAATTTTTTTCCCTATGAGGCTATAATTTAGCTGCATATGATAATTAATTTCTCTACTATTGATGAATAATCCATTTAATAAAAACCATGATTTAAGTGTTTTCCTTAGGGACTAACTCTTGCTAGCCTCTTAATTTAATTTTGTGGAAGTTTTTCCCACCTCTTCATCAGTGGAAATGATTATTAACCTCTATTTGCATATATCCTTATAAATCGGTCTCTCCTTGGAGTGCCTTTTTCTGAGCACAGCAAGCTGGGACACTTGTAAATCTCCAGGATCTCCTAAGTCAATCCCAGCCTGTAATATTGTTTAATCTATTCTTGGATATTTTAATGCAGTAAATTCAATTTAATCTTTCCCAGTAATCTAGTAATACATCGCAATCCCACAAACATTTAAATCTGATAATGGCTTAATCACACACTTTAAATAACAGTTGAGATAATGAAAAAATAATTCACCATTTGAAAGGCAGAGTAACTGAATTTCCCTGATGATTGGCTCCTACGAAGCCACCTGAGATAATACACATCTGGGAGTCAAAGCAAAGGAAGCCCCAGCACCATCAGGAACAGTCTTTCTTCTTACAAACACCTGCGTTCCGCCTGTAGACTCATTCAATCGTCGCCATGACTTCCACCCCGGAGGACCGTTTTCAGAGCGTTGGCCAGTGTTGCTCCAAGCTTCCTGTAGGTTGGGGTCTTCTGGGGGTTTCCTCCTGTGGATTAATTTCCTATTTTTAACTCTTCCAGGTGCCAGTCGCGAATTGCCCGAACTTTACCCGCTGATCAGAAGCCAGAATGTCGGCCATACTGGGAAAAGGATGACGCTTCAATGCCACTGCCTTTTGATCTCACAGATATCGTTTCAGAGCTCAGAGGTCAACTTCTGGAAGCAAGACCCTAGAAGGAGCACCAGTCTCAGGCGGAGGAGGAAAAGAGGTCTTTGGCTTTTCTCCTCCAACCTTATCATGGGCTTACGCAAGGGCAGTGGAGACTTCTCTTGGCCCCCAGATTGTAGCATCCAGGTCCCAATCCAAAACAGCTAGGAAATGGTGCCCATGCAAGTATTTTAAAATGATCCTGTGTTATAGTATGATTTGGTGTTAAATAAGACCTCCTTCCCCCCAAAAAAATCATTCAGACTTTAAAACATGAGCCATTCAGCCCCTGAGGTCCAGGGCAGGTGACAGGAACAAGCCCAGCATGTGACAAAGCCTGATCTACTTTCATCTTCCCAAGCTTTTTCAGAGACTGGAGTGAACCCAGCCCTCTGGGGAAAGACAGAACGTGGAGAGCTCCATCCTAGTCTCTCTCACACCCATGGTGCTGTCCAATATGGTAGCACTAGCTAGCTGTGGCTACTTCAATTTCAATTCAGTTTTCACTTTAATTAAAAATTTAGCTCTTCAGTTGCCTGGGCCGCATTTCAAGGGCTTAATAGCCTCATCTGGCTAGTGACTGCTCTATTGGATGGCACAGATATGGAACATTTTCACCACTGTAGGAAGTCTTATTGGACAAACGCTTCTATCAAAAGTTTGAGAGCAGGAATTCTCTTTTCCATTCCTCTGTAGCCTCTATCCCCAAAGGCCAAGAAACTGAAAGAGAAATGTCTCATTGAGGATTGGCCTCTCTCCTCTCTCTAAGACAAACCTAAGTAAACACCTGAGCTTTGAGCCCTAAGCTCAGTGCCCAGGAATGAGATGTTAACAATTAAAATTAAGTTGATAGTCTGTCTTAGGTTTCCCTGATCTAATGAAAGAGACGCAGCCCCATTTACATTATTTCACGGATTTAACCAGCACAGTATAGTTTTTTCCATAAGCCCCTCATTCCTGTGTAATGACAGGTAGAACTGAGGGTTGAAGAACCTCAGTGCCCCATCCTGATGATCTTGGAGACTCAGAGACAATGGCGAGGGGAGCGTAAAACCTGGGCTTTAAGATTCCCATTAGCTCCATGTGCTTTGGCATGTTAATATGCCTCAGTTTCCTCATCTGTATAATGGGAATATATGAAACACGCCACTCCCAAGATGAAGATTAAGATGATATAATAACAGACTTAGGACAATTTCCAGCACATAGTTAAATACCCAGGAAATACCAGTACTGTTATGTGTGGGTGAGATTTTTTTTTCCTCTCTCGTTCTTACCCCTACACCTGTTTTATCTAGTGATGCCATTAGCACATCTCTCCCTTTCTGACCTGGCTCCTGCCCATTGGTGCCCCAGAAATCATGAGAATAGTTAGCCCCCCTCTCCCCAGCCTGTTGCCTTCTCATGTAGTTATTCACAGTAGTTGAGAAGTTGAAGAGCTTTTGCCTATTGAAGGTGCACTGATGATAAACTCTTTCCTGCCACCAGAATTGCATTGGATCACAGGGTGTGCTCATTCTCACGCAGTTCATAGCCACAGAACCGTCACATTAAGCAAAGCAACCAGGATCTCATCGTGTTGAGACTCGAGTCTCTTAGACCTTGGATTCATTCCCTAGTGTCTTTGAGCATCGGTTTCCTCGTCGGTAAGAGAGAAGTGAAGCACTCTCACAGGTTGTTACAGAGATCACATGAAATAACATAGGCCAGGAAGGCGTGGCACATGAAAGTCACAGACGGGGCACCCTCGGGCCATCCAGCCCAGTGTTTTCTGTAGCCCCCATGATGTTCTTTTTTTGTTATATTCCATTAGGGGCCAATATTTAGAAATTGGGAGATTTCACATAAAATTAAAAGGTCTGCATTTTCTTTAGAACTTAGAACACCCAGTAGTCCTAGGACCCCATCCTCACATGGCAACAAGCTAAATAGCGTCTTTCTGCTGCAAAGTGGGACATGACCCAGCCTATGGTTTGCTGTATTCCCTCTTTTTTTCCATTTTATCATTTATCGTGAACCTGACCTGCGTCACCCCTTCACATCAGCGCTCTCCAAACCTGCTTGCTTGCACCCCTCTAGTCGAAATGTTTTGTGCTCACCCCAATATATGTGTGTGACTATTGAACTCAGTTCGTAGACTGCTTGTACTAATGTCATGTGCACCACAAAATATTCATATACAATAAAAATATTAAAAGGATGAGATAGGAAACCAAGAGAGATTCTGCTGTTTTTTCCTTTTGCATGGATGAGCCAGCTTTACTGGACTGGGTGGGACCCAGATGGAATTAGTTCTCAAAGTCCTCCACGTGGAGTCCAGGGATGCTCAGCAGGGTTGAAGAAATTACTACCTTTAAGTGAATCCAAAAGGTGAGATTACATTTGCTCTGAAGAAATGGTGATCCCAGCACTTGGGAGGCTGAGGCGGAAGATCACGGGAGGTCAGGAGTTCGAGACCAGCCTGGACAACATGGTGAAACCCCGTCTCTACTAAAAGCACAAAAAGCTGGGTGTGGTCATGTGCACCGTAATCTCAGCTCCTCAGAAGGCTGAGACAGGAATCACTTGAGCCCAGGAGGCGGAGGTTGCAGGGAGCTAAGATTATACCACTGCACTCCAGCCTGGGCCACAGGGTGAGAGAAAAAAGAAATGGTGACTATCACTGAGCATGTGTTTGAGGATTTCATGTGCTCTCCAGGGAGGTTTCAGGTGGGTGGAAGGAGGTGGGCAAGACCCAATAACAAGGTGGCTGGTGCCGGCAATGACAGTGAACTCGTACCCTGCAGGGTCATGGAAAGGCTTGCTTCTGCCCGGTGAATTGAAGGATTTTCCTGGAAGCACAGGCCCAGAAATTGTACCCTTCCCCCAACATATGTGGATAAGGGACCACCTCCATCAGCAGCAGCCCCTGCATGCTTTCCTGCCAGGCCTCCCTGTGGTCCCAGCTATCTTGAGAAAAGTGATCTAAGAGATCCCTTTGCACTGAGGCACAACTGACTGTCCCGCCTCCCTCTCGTCCTCCTGCAAACCTTGCTTGGCACTGACCACAGCCTCAACAATGGGGCAAGTCTGAGGACCCCAGACAGATCTCTGCCCCCCAGGCTACTGGATGCCCTGGGATGTATAGTGACCAAAACAGAAACTTACCTCATAGTGGGGAAATAGACAGTAACCAGAAAATCAATAACAAGATTGTTGCAGGTGGTTGTAAGTGCTAGGAAGGAAACCAGCTGGGAGAGGGACAGCAGGAGGAGATGGTGACTGACCAAGGGGACCTCGATCAGGCCATGGGGAAGGGAGGTGGTCAGGAAGAGCTTTCCAGGAAAGGGGGTGGCGGGCCCAGGCAGGAGAGTCCTGAGAGGGGGTACCCAAGGAAGCAAAAGGACCTTGAGGCCAAAGCTGAGAAGATCAGGAGAGGGGAAGGGGAGATGTAGCGCAGCGAAGGCAGGAGCCACTCAGGTTTTATTCCACACACCCCAGGAAGCTTGAAGGGGTTTGAAGCAACAAGAGCATGGCGGTAACTTGGTGAGATATTTTTACGCTTTAGTCCATTGCTCTTTCTGGATTCCAGAGGGTCTCTGAGAGAGAGCAAATGGCTCCATCCAAAGGAGTGGCTTTCCAACTGGGAATGTTCCCCTGGCTGGGTGAGATCTCAAGATGGACAAGATGGCCTGCAGCCCCTCTAGGTTGCCTGCCTGCAGAGTTCACTCTAAACAACACCTCCCCACTGTGCCCCAGCCAATCCTCACTGGCAGGCTCCAGCCCCACAGAACTTTCTAGACATAAAAGAGCACTGATGACACAATTTTAGTAATAAGCTTCGAAGTTCATCACTCACTGAATCGAGGGATGCCAGAATTGAGAGTCCATAGGCCCTGTGTAATGGACCCCACTTTCAGTAAATGCTGTTTTGAATGCTTTGAGGGAAGGAAGCTATATTCCAATGCAACTTCTTTTTTTTCTTGCTCTAGTTAGGGCTGACTTTACCACTGGGCAAATTGCATACATTTGGATCCATGCCATGCTAAATACTGTTTATTTTGGAGATCTGTCAGAGGCAAGCGCATGGAAGACAAGGGGATTCTGGTTTGAAAAGACAATTCTCATCCAGACAGATTCAGACGGAGAGGAGCGGTGCGGATTAAAATGCACCGAAGTGGTAATGCCGTTTATCCCCTTTGCCTTTGTTACTCTGTGATTAAATGGTATTTTTAATTAAGTTTCATTGGGAGCCATAGGTATCTCGGTGGTGAAATCAATTTGACAACCATAAAGGGGAGAGACGGCACAGGCGTGTTGTGATGATTGCGGCTGTAGGGAAAGCCGGGCAGCTTGCAGAGGATGGGTGGGAGGAGGGGAGCCAGCTGAGAATGACTTCCTGCAAGACAGCAAGGGCACCCCTGGGCAACTGCTGTGTTTGGGGGGCAGGTTTTGGGAGTTGTCAAAAGGTATTCATCTGGTTCTCTTACTCACCTGAGACACCTGATAGATTCCTGGAAACTCCAAGAAAGTATCTGAAGGCCTGTTTCTCCATTCTCTTCTCTCTCTTCTCTCTCTCTCTCTTTTTTTTTTTTTTTTTTTCGAGACAGAGTCTTGCTCTGTCAACCAGGCTGGAGTGCAATGGCACGATCTCAGCTCACTGCAACCTGTGTCTCCTGGGTTCAAGTGATTCTCCTGCCTCAGCCTCCTGAGCAGCTGGGATTACAAGCATGCACCACCGTGCCTGGCTCGTTTTTGTATATTTAGTACAGATGGGGTTTTACCATGTTGGCCAGGCTAGTCTCAAACTCCTAATCTCATGATCCACCCACCTCAGCCTCCCAAAGTGTTGGGATTACAGGTGTGAGCCACCGCCCCTGGCCCATTCTCTCTTATTAACAAGGAGAATCACGAATGCTCCCCAGATCCCAAGGACCCGACTATCTAGTTTCCAGGAATCTATCAGTTGCCTCAGGTGAGCAAGAGAACCAGGTGAATGCCTTCTGACACTGCCCAAACACTTTCCACTATGGCAGCCCTGCTCCCATAGTCCTGTATCCCATTGACCCCATGCTCCAAGGATGGTCCTAATTCCCACTTCTCAGAACACTGTCACCCAAGTCCTTCCTGCTCTCTAACCCAGATCCTCCTCCTGCATTGGACACTGGGCCTCTCTGCACCCTCCACCCTTTCTATCCTGCTGTCATTCATCAGATTTTCCAAATCTTTGGATTCCTGAGTGGCAGAAGAGGTTTTCTAAGTCTTGGTTCGGTGTGTGATCCGCATCCTACCACCTTTTCAAATCTTCATTCTCTTGTCTACAAAATAGAATAGGAGTAATCCATCACTTAAGGTTGTTGTGAAGGTTCGATAAGTTAATGTGCATTTAAAATGCCTCCCACAGTGCCTGACATATACAGGGCTTCAATGAGGTACTAGCTCTTATTATTAAGCAAGTTTCCTGTGATAACAGTTGTAGCTCTGTGACTGCGGCAAACCCCTTATGCCTTCTGTGCTCCAGTCTTTGTTTACATAACAGGGAGGATGATAACACCTAGCTCATTGGATTGTTCTGTCCCCTGTGATCATGTATGTTAAGGGTACTTAAAAATCGGCTGGGCACGGTGGCAAGCACCTGTAATCCCAGCACTCTGAGAGACCAAGGTGGGCGGATCACTTGAGGTCAGGAGTTCGAGACCAGCCTGACCAACATGGTGAAACCCCGTCTCTACTAAAAATACAAAAATAAGCCAGGTGTGGTGGTGGGTGCCTGGAATCCCAGCTACTCAGGGGGCTGAGGCAGGAGCATGGTTTGAATCCAGGAGGTGGAGGTTGTGTTGAGCCGAGATCGTGCCATTGCACTCCAGCCTGGGCAACAAGAGTGACTCTCTGTCTAAAAAAACAAAACAAATTCCTCCACGCATATACATTATGATGATGAAAAATATGATCAGTGGTATCCTGACCAAAATATTCAAAGGGACTACAGATAGCTTTGGGTTGTTCAAGAAGAATATTGTGTCACTATCCCATATATTATCCCATTTGCTCTTCACAGCTTCCACTTTTTGCTAGACAGATAGCATGGAACTTTTTATAAATGAGATATTATGAAAAACGATGTTTTAGGACTCCAATTTCTCCAGCGGGAGTAGGTCACCCATTGCAATTTTAGATTTGCTTAAAAAAAATTCTTGCCATCACCTTCTAATGGATGATCTGTGTACAACAATTGTTTATTGACTCTGAATGTCTAAGTAGCAGGGGCAGTCTATTTCAAGAGGAGGGAAGCATTAATTAACCTCCAGCATGAGATTCAGTGATTCTTTTCCAATGAGGCAGTTCATGACTTTGCTCGCATTTACTTTTCATCAATCCTGAAAGAATTGAGGTAAAATAGTTCCTCTGCACATGTGTGTCAAGCTAAATGGATAACAGCAGATACAGATCTGTTTGCCTGTCTGCACTTGCCTTTAGACAAAATTCATCAATTTTACAAAAGCCACTGACTAAACATGGCACCAATACAAATGAAGCACTTCTAGCAGGCGGGGTCTCCCTTTGTTTCTGATCTGCTATATGCTGTAGTTTCCTGCTGAGAGATGGGAAGTGCAGGACTAAGACAGCAAGGTGCCCTACAGGTGGGGCCGAAAAGGTCAAGACCACTCTACAGGAAGTTTAGGAGAAGGTAAGTGGTGCCTGGTCCTGTGTGTCTGGGGCAATTCTGACCCTCTTCGTTAGTGACAATGGCATGAAGCTCTTTCACGCAGTCTTTTATTTTTTTTTTTCAGACAGGGTCTCATTCTGTTGTCCAGGCTTGAATGCAGTGGCAAGATCCCGGCTCACTGCAGCCTCAACTTCATGGGCTCAAGTGATCCTCCTGCCCCAGCCTCCCACAGGCACTTGCCACTACACCCAGCTAATTTTTTGTAGAGACTGGGTTTCACCGCATTACCCAGGCTGGTCTCAAACGCCTAGGCTCAAGTGATCTGCCTGCATTGGCCTCCCAAAGTGCTAAGGTCACAAGCGTGAGCCACTAGGGCTGGCCCTCCACACAGCCTTGCTTTGTGTTAAAGATTGAACAAAGACCACAGGTGATCACTCTCTTCATGCTGCCAGTTTCAAGGGCACCCTTCTTCCCTTCCCAGTCTCCGAGAGAAGGAGAGTTCCATCCCCACAGGTAAAACCACGGCTGTGCAGCTAGCAGGTGGAGACAACATTTGGAGGAGGGCCTTGT